CCTTGGATCCCTTGTTGAGACTCACTCAAAGTCTGTGCCTCAAGACACCCCGAGCCTTATGAGCTAAATGCACGGCTCCAAAACTGCTCCTTTACTACACCCCATGCCTTGCAGGTGGTATTCAAACATTGTCCCGCTGGGGCCTTAGTCTAGCTCGACCTCCTGCCATCATTGGGCCCTTGGCCCCTGTCTGTGCACACGCCCCCACTGGCGTTGGGCTCTCTCCAGCCCTGTTGCTGCACCCTCTGGTGCTGGGGCTCTACATGGTAGTGTACCCCAATGAGGCTGCCTCCTCCCCAACAGCCTCAGCCAGTCCACTGGATTCAACTAACAATGTAAATACAAGCCCGTGGGCTATAACATAACAGCAACCATAACACTGGAGGTCACACTCTGCCCCTTTAAGGAGGTGAGCTTCTCCCTCAACAATGTGTGCCTCCTAGCCCCAGATACTTTAGGAGCTCCTAAAGCTCATTAGTCTCACCAGCAGCAAAAAACAGGCACCCAGACAATTCCATGGAGCTTTTCTGCACGAACTCCACTCCCCCTGGCTGCTGCCAGAGCACTAAGTACCTTCAGTCCCAGCCCTGGGGCTTGATGTGCGCCCAGGGCCCTGCCTTCTTCCGGTCAGCTGACCCAGGACAGGTGCTAGCTAATTCCCTCATTAGCCTGCTGCCATGGCAACTTGCACCTATGGGATTTCTGCCCAGCTCCTAGGGCCCTCTCTCTAGGCAGTTTCTGCCCTTGAAGGAGCAGGCACACCTTAGTACCCTGTGACAACATGCACAACACAGAGCAGTCCAAAAGCTCTGATGATTCACCCCCCACTTAAAGTACACTGAAATCCTAGTTTAGTTCCTTAACAAAATCCAGTCATAATTAAATCATACACAGTAGACTAGTACTTCATCTATCTCAGAGCATACCCAACACACACTCCAATCTTCAGAGTGGCTAAAGAGAGAAACATAGAGGCTATGTAATATTTCCAAAAGGTAAAGCCCTTGTTTTGGACTAGTGGATGCAAGAGAAGCTTGCACTAAAGGGCCCTCAGCATGTTCCAACAGCAACCCCCTCTATGCTGCTCTGGGAAAGCAAGATCTCTGCAAGTGTCCTCACCAACAACAGATGTGACAACATTGTTGAGGAGGTCTCCTACATGCACAGATTCCTCACCATTTACAATTCTACAGGTCAAACTAATTTAAATTCACCTGGAAGCTAACCATCAAAAAGTGCAGATTGCGGATGTAGTCAGTCTGTTCCCAATAAGGTGTTTAATTAGGCAGCTGGTTGTATTCTGCATCAACATTTGTAAGAAATTCTAATCACAAGGCGATGAAAGCCTGGAGTATGTTAGTAATATCTTCAGCTGGAAGAAAAATGAGGAAGTATTGCTTCTGATCAAACATATCCTGGCCATATCTTCTATCTCATCCAAACTCAACTAATTCCTGTCAGACCTACAAGTTAAGAACTCTAATCACAAATGTTAGCGACACATGCTCAATCAGGGGACAGATGCAAAACTCTCTCAGCTTCATTATGTATACCGAGCCACCATCACTACTTGGTTTTGGCTGTACTGAGTCATAGCCAGTTTGTTCTCATCTGCCTTACTCTTCATTAGATATAATCAAATCTGATTCAGCAGAGAACTGAAATTGAAATGATGCTAGCCATATACTTGGAACACTAATGCAGGTCTCTTCACTACGCAGCCTCAATGCCTTATTACAGATGTGCATGTGTGGTACAAGACAACCCAGATTTTTCATATCTGGGTTGTTTGCAACCCAATTAATTCACAACTGGATGCTGAGTGAAGGATCAGCTGTGTAGCCACCTACTGCAGCTTTTATTTGCAAAAGGTACTATTTTGCCTTTCAACTAGAGCACAGCGGCAATTCTGTGCACCCAATTAGAAAACTGGCACTCTGCTGCAGCAATTATCCAGACCACCTGAGGCGTCCTGCACAGATGTCTACTATGGTTATATACATACCCCATCTAGTTTACAAATCCTTGTCTTTGCCAGGTGCCTAAGGAGCCTCACACCCTGGGAAGAATCCAAGTTCTTGAGTGACCTCTACAAAATCTTCATGAGAACACCCTTTTGGTCAACAAGCAATTTCCAGACTGATACAGAATACAGCTAGGGTCCTCTTTTGCAGGAAAAATACACAATCAAGAGCACCAATATTTACTTCTACTTTTCATGACCTATTTTATGAAAGTAGCTGGCCACATATCAGTAGTAAAACATTGATTTCTTACAACCATTTTTGAGAGGCCCTGGAACCCCCACAATTTGGCGGAAGAACTGAAAAAAAAAAAAAGACGACAGGATCCAGTCACCTTTGCTTAAAGAACATGCCTTTACTTGTTCTGAGGTGAAGTTTCACAAAAACTAGTCCCATTATAAAGCTTTGAAACAAAAGGGAAAAAAGTCCAGGTTCACATTTGATCAGTACAGTCTTGGTACAGTTTAGCAACTAAATTCTTCAAAGATTATATCTGTACCAAACATGCTCCAGCTGAGGACTGCAGGGATCAAGGCCAAATTGTTGCTACAGGACACTATGGCATACACCGAAACAGAGAGCAGAAGGACTATTCTGAGTTCTCAAAGCTCCCTCTGATGCTCTGAGGGCAAAGGAGAAAGTGAAGGAAGGAGGAAATGAAGACGCCAAGTCTACATGAGCTATTACTGCGCAATTGTTACTGTGCACTCATTTAGTACTTGTATAAACAGTAACCAGGGGTCATATGAGCCCAGTATTCATTCCTGCCCAGGGCAGGGGTCGGACTTGATGATCTGCTCAGGTCCCTTCCGACCCTACATCTATGAACCTATGAACCCATGTTACTGTGCAGTAGTGCTGGTGAACACCTTTATGATGCTACTGCACAGTAGCTTCATACTACGATGTAGTAGTGTCATGTCATGGTTTTTGCCATGCAATGCTACTGTGCAAGTAGTATCGGGCTACTGCTCAGTCAGCTTCTCGTGTAGACATGGCCAGTGTGTGATAAGAGGAAGTGGGACCATAAAAGTTGAGGGTAGGGAGGAGTAATACAGGTCTTTAAAGTGATTACATACCATCCCCCCCATATGGGAAACTTGCCTCAGTACAAAGGATGGATGGTGTGACAATTATTTAAAACCTGATCTGAATATAGAATTAATTCACTCTTATTGGTTTAACATGCGATTATGAATTAAAGTTTGTATCACAAGGGGGACAAAACAAAGTTGCATATATAATCTTAATTCTGGCATTTTGTAACTTTTAAGAACTCCGGCTTTGCAAACCTTAATGTTCTTTTAACATAACATGAAAAAAACCAACAAATCAACTTTTCTAAAGCACAGCTCAAGCCATCTGTACTCATCTCTATTGCAGACACCCGATTCATCTGCAGCGAAGGTAAGTGCAGGCATGAAAGAGCAGCAGGGAAGGCTGCGGAGCTGACAGGTAGCTTAGCATGGCTGTGTACTGCCCGATTCCCTGTGCTGTGCAAGGCTGGGTCAAACCTTCTTGGGCTGGATCTGACCTGTAAGCCATAGCTTGCTGACCTCCAAGTTAGTAACTTAATTTCATTTCTGTCATACATACATGACAGTTCCCCTATTAATGAATAAACAAAAGGAGGAACCTAACATTGCCAGCACTGGCAATAGAATTTTAAAAGAAAATCAGCTGATACATGAAAAACTGTTAAAATACTGAAAGCTACAAAGATCAGTTATGTGTTAGTAAATTAAAGCAAAGCATCCATCTGGATTATGAAAAAAAATTCAGAATACTTCTAGATGTTAAAACACTTACCATATGAACTACTTCTGGGTAAATGGGTTCTGTGATCACATTGCGATTGTGTGTGATGTACTCTACCATTTCACTTAAAGCTGCTCGTTTTACTTCCTTCCACTTCAGGTCACTTAGTGGATCAGAAACAAAGTCAAAAAGGACACAACATTGTCGCAACTTCTGGATAAAGAGCTTTTCTTGGTCAGCAGGAGGAACATCTGAAAAAGTAAAAATATTTTGTTATGATAAGGTATATATGCCATACTACTTGAAAAAGACTTTCCAGTTCTCCTCTCTCCCTCTCCTTCCCAAGGTTATTTTGTAGCAACACTGCATACTAACAGCAGACATTTTGAATTATCAAGCAACATGCACTTTGGAGAGGTTCTGAAGATGCTTAATATCACTAGAAGCCTGTATTCTAGTAACACCTTATGATATCATAGAGCATATGAATGGTAGTGCATCATTGGTGGTTTGCTTGCATTTGCCAAAAATAATGATTATGCAGAAAAGACATACTTATATCTGAAAAAGTATTTTTGCTCAACTTAATTCCAGAAAAAAATGTTAACAAAACTTTGAAAATAAATTCTGTACATTAAATATAGATTCTGCATTTTAAAATCTGTGCACTTTTAAAATACATTCAAGTTTTCAACTCACAAACTGATATTTTTAGTTTGAGACAAATTTGTTTTACACTGGATTACCACCTCCATTTTCCTTGTGTGGCAGGCACTATTCCCTCAGATATAATATAAAGATCTTTAAGCAAAAAAAGTATTTAGAAAACAGCATCAGTTTTCTAAAAAGATGTCACTGAGGAAAAAAAATCTTAAAAAGAAGAAAAAGCCCTTATTGATTTAGAATGTTTATTTTATGGACAGAAAATAAATTAGACAGGAACATATATTCAGAATCTGCTTTACATGCATACAAACTAGATCCACACTACAAACCCTTACAATTCAAACTCCTATGAACACTTACAATTGTATCTTGGTTCTACAGTCCAAGCCAGGGACAAGACACCAATTCAACAGAGAGCCAAATTCCATTTTTATGTATAACTCAGCTCATGGTTCATACAACGTACTCTCAACTTGCAAGAAAACTGAAAATGTCAAAGGATGTTTTGCACAAAAATGAGTAGTAGAATGCTTTTTACAAAATAGAAGCATTTTTAATTACTTGATTTCCCCCGAGTGCTGACTGAGTAGTAACAACCATGTTCACCACTAACATCTCTCCCCTTCATTGTCTTCCTCTCATGCTCATCAGTATATCTCCTCTTTTCTACTTTATTTCCCTTATATGCAACACCTGACTGGTCCAGGATGCCAGCCTCCTTCACCTATGCATTTAGATTTTCAAACAAGTACTTGTATGGCTTTTCTCAACCCACCCTGTAAACAACAACAAAGCTAATCTCATCATCCTCTCAGTCCTTTCTTAAATCTTCTTTATTGTGATGCCTACACAGCATTCGATGATAAAACCACTGAGATGCTGAGAGCTTTGCCTGCCATCAGGGACCAATACTGGGTTACTGTTTCCCTGTACTTTTGCCTGTTTGTATCCATTTATTATTTCATCTCTTTTGCGGGGGGGATGAACAAGGTTATGTCTGGTTCCATTTTTATACACTATATTGCACAATGGAGTTTTTGCGCTCAACTAAGGCTCATAGAGTTGATCATAAAAAGGGCCATTCAGTTTCAATACAAATTTCAGCCCTGAAACCACAACCAGTTCTGCACATGCTTAGTCTGAAACCACAAACACTTCTACACATGCTTAGTTTTAAGTGAAACTGAAGTCAATGGGACTGTTTATGTAAAAAGTAACAAACCAGTTTATGAGCTTGCAGAATCAGGACCTCAGTTTTCAACAGTTTGGGTCTTTCCCCTTCTGAAAGTCAGTGTTATAAAAACAGCTACTTTATGGGTAGTGACATTAAGAGCAAACATTAATAATTTAGCTAGAATTGATTAAATGCAATTCTCAAATTAGTTTTTATAAACCTTCTATTTGATTTAAATTAGTACTTAACTAAAAACAATATGTTGTTCCATCCTTCTCAAGACAAATTACACACTAATGTGACAGATAGAACTCTCTCACCAAAAGGATCTACCAGAGTAAGGTACTGCTTTGTCTCTTCCCAAACTAAACACTTTTTTTCTTAATCTTTAAAAGTGTTGTTGTTGTTGTTGTTGTTTTGGGTTTTTTTGCTTGTACAGTTAGTTTTGGCACATTTCAAGTATAGCTATATGTTGACATAACTAAAAACAAAACATTAGTCTGATCAAATCAATACCCACTAGTTTGTACCCTATGAAAGTTATCCTCAGCATCTCTTGATTTTTTGATCCATACTGAAGTGCCAGCTAGGGAACCTGGTCATAGCTCAAAGTCTTACTGTGCTAGACCGTCATACAAAGATGCAAGATGGACCCTGCCCTGAATAGCTTACAACCTAGTATGTATAAGACAAGAGACAGCAAGTGAATACACAGGCCAAGGCTGCCCAAGGTAACAGCATAACAACAAATGTTATGCTTGACTTTTGTTTAATAATATTCTCCTTCACTATTAGCATCTCAGAGAGGTACAGAAACTTAAGGGCACAGTAAGACCAGGCTACCCTTGAAAAGACTTTAACTAAAGTGAAAGCACGCCCTAGAAAACTTATTGTTTTTTTTCTTTAGGAGTACTTTAAAATGCTAGCCTTTTTATCACAGTGCACTTGTGCCACCTTGATCACAATCAGATTTCACCAAATGTGTATGCACACACAACAAGCGACACCCTATTTGACAGCATTAGTGGACTTTAGCTGGGAATTTTTCATGGTAGGATATCCTCTAAATAATTTGCAAATCTACCTTAGATACAAGACTGCCATTTGGACACAAAACTGGTAATAACTGCTAAATACATATTGTGTATTAAGTAGCAACCAACTGTAGTGCTTCACACTTCTGCACAATGAATAACCACAAATACTTGCTTTGAAATAACTATAAGCAACAAAGGGGGCATATCGAAGTAAACAGCATACAAACAAGAAGCAAAACTCAATTACAGCTTTAGTCAGTGTTGCTAGGAGACCATTGATAGCAAAGAGCTCTGTTAACTAGAAAGAAGGGGCTAAATGACAGCTGCTCATGAACAGAGCACTGACTTTCTAACCATTACAGGCAGGTTTCCAGCTTAGCATCGAGAACATTTTAGAACGAGAAGCCACACATGAAGAAACTAAACCAAAGTCCAATATAATTTTTAATCTAAAGAGTCAGTCTACTAGTTCCTTTGGAAACATTTTCCTTAGCATTAGTTTTAATGAGTAATAATTTGGATACTTTAAATCAGCCACATTTTATTGCCTGTACCTTACTCTGTTTGTATTATTGTCTGTATCTGATTCAGTTACATCTGAATCAAAAGTCAGCGTGCAGGGAGAGTGATTCAGCTCCAAACTGTAGGTGGTGGACAATGGTTAGAGAACCGCCAATAGTGACAGTCACAATACAGAAGTGCATGCAAGCATCCACGGACAGTAAAACATCTAGTTCTCCCAGCTTTTTGTCACACAATGGTTTAATGACAACCTGTAGGTTTCAAAATAGCTGGGTTATAGAAGAGAGAGCTGTCTTATCCAGGCTATAATTGCTTTTGTGCAAGAAAGATCTGCAGGCATGAGTAAGAGCTATGAGGTCACAGAAGGGAATATATCTTCAGCCATACAAAGAACTGTCAAGCTATATCTTTCTGTAAGTGCTTGGTGATTACCAGACTGCCTTCATCAGCTGACTGTTAATCACCAGAGATCCTAGTTTTCTGTTTAAAAACCCCAAATTTTACAATTAAAAACCCCAAAGTCTGTGTTTTCCCACAATTAAAATGAAATGCACACGATAGACAGACAGATATCAGTGAAACACACTGTTTTATTGATATATTTACAATTTTAAAGTAATCAGGAAGCCTACCAGTAACCCACTCATTCTAATAAAATCAATTCTCAATACTTATATATTTTGGCATTTTAGTTTTTTCTTTTTTTACCATGGCAAATCAGAGTTTTCCCTGCCCCCTTTGCTCACTAGGATGCAGGTCCAGTTGTGGCTGTCCTCCTTGCTCCGTTGTGGCAATGAGCAACCCTGATCTGTCATTGCCCCTCACTCCCAAGCCTGCCCCCCTGGTGCCCCTCACTCCCAAGTCACAGCCCCCTTGCCTGGCTGGTGTCCCTCTCTAAGCTACACTCCCTTGCTTCCCCTGGGCCATGCTGGTGCCCCTCACTTCCCGCCCGCAGGTCCCCATCCCTGCTGGCACCCCTCACACTCCCAACCCACAACCCTTGGCCCCCCATCAGCCCTGCTGGAGGGGCCCCCCAGCAGACTACAGGATGGTGGTCTGCAGGGATGGATTCCAACGTGAGGTGGCATACAGCGCACCTCATGCAGAAGCACAGGCTGGGACACCACATGCTGGCCCATGTGTCCAGGTAAAGCTGTGGTATGGCAGGGAGGACCAGGGCTGTGCTCCACAGCAGCAGCATGAAGTGGAGTGGTGCTCTGGCTCAGGCCATGCTGCAGGCAGCAGAAGGAGGGCAAGGGGCTCCAGGTCCCATACTGCCCCGGCTACAGTGCAGCTGCGGTGGCTCTGGCTTGCATGGGTGATGGCAGAGCAAGTCTGGCCCTGGCATGGGATGAAGGGAGGAAGAGGAGGCCTGTGGCAACCCCTGTCCCAGGCTGGGGCTCTTGCGCTGTGACAGGAGGTCTGGCCACCCTCCCCCAGGCACCACCACCACCACCAGCTCCTGACACCGCCAGGCCAGCCACACAGTTATCTCCCCCCTGTCCCTGAAGGACCCCCCTGACACATTCCCTGCTGGAGGGGCAGACACCTCTGGGTGGGCCCCACTGGCAACAACATCAAGCTGGGTTTTACAGGCAGCACTAAGGCCCCCTGCAGCCCCAGTGCCCAGACACCTTCCCCCAGCACTGGCAGAAAGGCTGCCAGCCTGCAAGGAGAAACCTAAGGCTTCCCGCAGTTTTCTCCTTTAAAGGGGAAAATCTGCGTTTTTCCACAGCAAATGGAAAACCCAGATCCCTAATAATTACAAATGTTTGATATTCCTCTTCATTAACATCGTTTGAATGGAGCAGCCTAGAATTAACTTCTTTGATTAGGAGACCTTTGGTGCGTC